CGCCGGTCTTTTACTGGACCCGTAGGGCGACAGGGTAGAAGGAGCTCATACAACTTTCCACAAGAATTTCAAACGATCATTTACGCTATGGATACGTTTCTAACGCAGTTGGAGAAACGTGGTGCTAATACGTGTTATATGTTTTGTTATCGTCCTTAGTTTTGATCGCATATCTTGTTTTGTATTATTGAGTTATTCAAGAATTGAGGACAAGCAACTCTGGAACCATGCAATTAAGAAAGCTTTTTTAAAGTGGGGTTTCGAGTTATTGTGCTTTGTTGGCGAGTAATCGATCAAAACAGCGAGGTTTCAGACTAATGTTGACCTGTTAACAGAAGAAACGTCTGCGAGGCAACAAGCTTAACCTTCGGTTACGTGGATGCTTCCGAATTAGTCTTAAAGCAACCCATACTCGTAAATATATTTGAGGGACCGTACGTAGTGGGAACAAAACTTATAATAAAGTTTCGAGCCTTTTGATACATTTACACATCCCGAGAAACTGATTTCCTGGAGTAATGTTTACACGGAGCTTAGGATATCTGTCATTAGGACGAAACCTCTAGCTGTAGTATGCTGTAGTAACCACATGCCTATTGACACTGCCTTAAAAAGTATAGCACTCCTGACTGATGTCCAGCGTTAAGCTATGTGATTAAAGGGTCAGTGGATGACACTCATCGTTGAAGCATAATTAAGACCAACGGTTATTAATCGCATTTTCCTTTATTTGATGGAGCTTCAAATATAAGGGTAGTCTTTGCTGGCTGTTAGCGTCTTATTTTCATGAGGCAAGTTGCTTGTTTCCTTCCAAAGTCGTGGTATTCGTTCGCCATGAGTTGGAGAAGCGAGTAATAACCCCATAAGAAGGAGAAGCGCGTAATCCTGTCTGAATTCGCTTCCGCCGTTTTCAATCGCGAGTATGATGTCTTACTGACCCAGCTACCCTACGTTGCATGAAAGCAAAGCGTCAAAACTATCGCCCCTCGTGTAATTTTACAATAGATCGACATCCCAGCGGTGAAAAGCTTTTTCTGTTGGACGCATACAGTAGCATGCAATACGCTGCATCTTTCTCACGCAGTGGTTCTAACCCTCTGCAGTAACATTGGAGATGATCACGACTTCCAGCCAGGAGTGCAACGCGCGATGCGTACGTCGAGGATACCTTGAGGTTCACCTGATATCAGCCTTGTTTGGGTACAGACACAGACAGTGTTGCGCGCGCGTTGCATTGAAGGTGTCCAGCTGTTTAAGGATGGCGTCTTATTTTTCCTTTCCTAATGAGACAGCATCTTCACATACATCCCTCTCGAGTAGATAAGAACTGGCCTGATTTCTAATGATGGCGCATTCCTGCTACAGACATTACGTTGATGTTAACGGCTTAGCTGTAATAGCGGTGAAGTAATAAGTCGCTTATTCAGTAACTGTAGAATCTCTGTCGTATAGATTTGAATTGCAAAGCATCGGCGATCGTCACTCTTGTCTGTAGGACCTTTAAATCTTGTGAAAACTCATTAAAGATCAGTTAAGTCGTACTTTGCTAGTTGTGCTTAATTGCGCTAATTGTGTATTAAAGTTTTGTGTCAAGGTAATAGTGCCGTGTAAACTATGGATCGCTTATATTTATAATAAATCATAATAATGAATGTAACTTTAACTCAAGGGGATATATATAAGTTGCAACAAACTCAGTCCTTATTAAGTGACCTTCGTTCAGAACATAGCTATTCCCTAGATGACGTATGTCCGCAGATGTTTTGCTGATGGAACGGGAAATCGGATTTGCATTTCTCACGGATAAACTTGAAGATAGAATACGAGCACCGGCGTTAAAGCAGAAGTCAAACACTAAATCCTGTAATTCCATTCGTGCAAATTCAGAGGGAGAATCCCGAAATTATTAAACTTCTTGTAAGTGAACCAATGACGATCAGAATTACCTTGAAATAAAGTAGCTTGATTTGTCTTATACGTTCGTTATCCGTCGTAGTACAGCACGTTTATTCATTTCAAAAGTCAGCTGTTCAGGTCATGCGTGCAGCAGCTTCGGTAGGTGTTTCAAATGGCCACAGTCCAATGTCAAACTAAAAAGCTCCGTATTGTTGACTTCAAGGTGTGAGAATGCCAGGTTTTGTTTATAATCGAACCATCTGCCCCGCATTCTGCCTTGAAACGCCTTCCCTGTGGCTTTGCCAAGAGAGTGCGCCTGGAAAGTGTGGCATCCCTGGCTTAAACCATCTCAGATGTG